TTTTCCTTCTGGGAGCCCTGTAATGTGAATGTTGTTGCATTTAATATTGTCCCAAAGGTCTCAGGCTGTCTTCATTTCTTTTCATTCTTTTTTGTTTATTCTCTTCCGTGGCAATGAATTCCACCATTCTGTCTTCCAGGTCACTTATCCATTCTTCTGCCTCAGTTATTCTGCTATTGATTCCTTCTAGTGTATTTTTCATTTCAGTTATTGTATTGTTCATCTCTGTTGGTTTGTTCTTTAATTCTTCTAGGTGTTTGTTAAACATTTCTTGCATCTTCTCGATCTTTGCCTCCATTCTTTTTCTGAGGTGTTGGATCATCTTCACTATCATCATTCTGAATTTTTTTTCTGGAAGGTTATGTATCTCCACTTCAATTAGTTGTTTTTCTGGGGTTTTATCTTGTTCCTTCATCTGGTACAAAGTCCTCTGCCTTTTCATTTTGTCTATCTTTCTGTGAATGGTTTTCCTTCCACAGGCTGAAGAATTGTAGTTCTTCTTGCCTCTGCTGTCTGCCCTCTGGTGGATGAGGTTATCTCGCTTTTTTTTACATTTTTTTAAGGCACTCACTTACTGTAGCAAAATGCCATTTTATGACATTTTTCCCTTAAATGTAATAAAACATGTGATTCATGACTGTCAGTGCGTTTTCTTAATTAAAGCTTTGCTAAAGATTATGGTCATGAGTAAAATTGCCCATCATACTGCAGTTTTTGTTTTCACTATCCAAGCTCTTAAAATGAATTCCTCGTCTATTAGGAATTGTTTCCTTATAGATTAAGATATTAGAATAATGTTCAAAGAAGTTGTATAGTGGCTTACTAGTGATGTTTGAAAAATGGATATGTGAAAATCACACACTTGTTCATGTATGGTTATATATACTTGGAGCCACTGGTAGCTTATATTTCTTAGGTTTCCTCTGCCTGAAAAAACTTTTTTTAATTAAAATTTCTTTATATTTTAATTTTTAGGTTGGCTTTGTTTTTCAGTCTTAGGTTTTTTCTAATGATATGCTAGGAGGGCGGTTTCCTCCATTTTTGCTAGAACATGGGAAAATGAAAATATTGTTTTCTTTTTTTAGAATAAATTTATTTATTTTATTTTTGGCTGTGTTGGGTCTTTATTGCTGTGCACGGGCTTTATCTAGTTGGAGCGAGCGGGGGCTACTCTTCGTTTTGGTGCGCAGGCTTCTTATTGTGGTAGCTTCTCTTGTTGTGGAGCACGGGCTCTTAGGCCTGTGGGCTTCAGTAGTTGTGGCTAGCAGGCTCTAGAGCCCAGGCTCAGTAGTTGCAGTGCATGGGCTTATTTGTTCTGCCAGGTGTGGGATATTCCCGGATTAGGGCTCGAACCCATGTCCCCTGCAGTGGCAGGCGGATTCTTAACTACTGCACTACCAGGGAAGTCCTGAGGTCATTTATTTAAATACAGTTATCCGTAAACCTACAGTGAACATTTTTCTTTTTTTTGGTGGGGGGGGCGTGCTGCTCAGCCTGCAGTATCTTAGCTCCCCAACCAGGGATCGCACCTGTGCCGACTGCAGTGGAAGCATGGAGTCGTAACCACTGGGCCTCCAGGAAAGTCCCTGCAGTGAACATCTCATACTGACATCATTGTACCTTGTGTTGATTACCAGATAATTTCTCAGAAATGGAATTGTTTCATTAAAAAGTATATACATTTTATTTTACTTTTTAAAAATTTTTAAATTTAAAAATTTAAATTTTTAAAAATTTTATTGGATTATAGTTGATTTACAATGTGTGTTAGTTTCAGGTGTACAGCAGAGTGATTCAGTTATATATATACACATATATTCATTCTTTTTCAGATTCTTTTCTCATATAGGTTATCACAGAAGATTGAGTAGAGTTCCCTGTACTATACAGTAGGTCCTTATTGGTTATCTATCTTATAAAAAAGTATATATATTTTATTATTATTATTTTGCCCATGCGGCTTGCGGGATTTTCGTTTCCTGACCAGGTAATGAACCTGGGCCCTTGGCACTGAGAACGTGAAGGCCTAACCACTGGACTGCCAAGAAATTCCCCAAAAAGTATATACGTTTTAAATGACAGATTACCCTTGAAAGATTCTACTGCTTAATACTCATTCCAACAGCATGAGAGAAATGTCCATTTATATAAGCTGGTCAGTGCTTGGTATTCTCTGTTTTGTCAGAATGATAGGTGAAAACTGTTCTGTTTTACTTTACATTTCTTAGTACAGTTGAGTTAGCATTTCATATTTGGCCACTGGTATTTCGTTTGAATCATCTCTTTTTTACTCAGATTTATTTATTTTTTTAAAAGCTCAGTGTCATTCTTTTAACAGAAAAAGAGTGGTTTGATGAGGTGGTCTAAGAGTAGCACAAAGGACTTCCTTATGTGGAACTTGGAATTAGACAAATGTGTTCACAGTTGGCATTGCACATCTGCATGTTCCCCTTCTCCCTGTCTTAGGGAGTCTGCCCTGTGAAGTTGACAACATGAAGGAGCAGACCAGAATGCTTGCTTTTTGTGGACAGCTAGCTCCCAAAGAAAAGGGCGGAAAGGTGTTGGCTTTGCAAGTCAGTTCTTTTCCTAAACTCATTAATCAGGAAACTTACTGTTTCTGTGGGAGGAATTCGGACTTGGGAACAGGAATATTCCAGGAAAGTCTTCCTTTTAAAAAAGTAAATTAGGGGTTTCCCTGGTGGCACAGTGGTTAAGAATCCGCCTGCCAATGCAGCGGACACGGGTTCAATCCCTGGTCCGGGAAGATCCCACATGCCACGGAGCAACTAAGCCCGTGCACCACAATTACTGAGCCTGCTCGCCTAGAGCCCGTGCTCCACAACAAGAGAAACCACTGCAATGTGAAGCCCACGCACCACAACAAAGAGTAACACCTGCTTGCCACAACTAGAGAAAGCCCGCGTGCAGCAACGAAGACCCAACGCAGCCAAGAATAAATAAATAAATAAATAAACAAACATTTTAAAAAAAGTTATTAAAAAAAAAAGAAATCACTTTCCTATCCCAGCGTATCCAACCACATTGGCCAGCATAATTTGTCAAATAACTTTTAATGAGAATAAATTACAGTATTGATTGTGTACTTAATGATACTCGATCGATAAAATGTCAGAATTATAGAGGCCACAGAGTTAAATGTGCACTTTTTTCCCATTGTATTTCCTGAGGAGGTGTTAAAGTTGAGAGAGTAAAATTTAAACAAAAATCCAAAATTTTTGAGTTCAAAAGAATTTATTGAAATCAAAATCTCTCTCCCTTTTATTTTTTTAATTTGTTTAATATTTGTTTTTTAAGGATTTCTTTTGATATGGACCATTTTTAAAGTCTTTATTGAATTTGTTACAATATTGCTTCAGTTTTATGTTTTGGTTTTTTGGCCAGGAGGCATGTGGGATCTTAGCTCCCTGACCAGGGATCGAACCCGTGACCCCTGCATTAGAGGGTGGATTCTTAATCACTGGACCACAAGGGAAGTCCCCTGATTTTAAAGCAATAGAAAGATTATTAACTCATGCTCAAATATTTTTTGGTTTGTAAATAACATTTAATATTGAAGTTAAAAAGTTTTATTTTTATGTGGTCAGAATAATTTTTTAAATTTCTGACCTTAATTTTGTGATTATTAATGTCTAATTGATTTGTAATAAAACTCGCTTGTGTGGCCTATCCCTAAATACTTTTCAGTACATCAGGTAGTTTGTATAAGGCTGTGTTTTGTAACCACCAGGCACTTAATTTACTTGACTTAGCAATGTCTTGGGACATGTTTTCTACTTTGTTGAGGGAAAGGTCTTTCAAATGTTCTATACTGTATAACTTCCATACAATATACGTTATATTTACAAAATATACCTCAGTCAAATTCTAATGTTCAAATATTGTTTTTGTTAAATTAGGTTTTTTCCTGCTTCCCTTTTTTTCCTATCTGTCCAAATTTTTTTTCTGTATCTTATTTTTGTTAGTGAAGTATTTATCCTTATGCACATTGACACATATGTATACACTTATAATGTGTCCCTAAAGTATAAACAAGTATAAAGCAAATACCCATGTACTCACTATTCTGCTTTAGAAATAAAATTACTACAATATTCAAGATCCCTGTGTGCCCATCCCTGGTGATGTCTTCATCCTTCATCAGTCTTCCTTTCATGAAATCTTATTTGAATGTTTCTGGGTTTTAACTCAAAGATGACTTTATTTTAGTCTATGAATTGGTCAGTGCAACGATTTTTGGGATTCATGTTTTGCTGAATTACTGTGTTTTCTGTAGCTGCAGATCCCATGTTTATTCTGCTTTTTAATATTTAGGTCATGTTTAGCTAGATGATCATCATGGTAGATAATGAATCAAGATGCAAGACACTGTAAAGCTTCATTACAATGAAGACTATATTTGTCAATCTTTGTGTTCTTATTCAAGAGGGACAAGTGATGATACCATGATAGTCTTGTACAAACTTTTACAGAGATCGCTTCTATTTTTTATGGCTTGGATCTAGATACAGCCTATTACGGTTGCCAAACTTTGTTTTCTGACGACAAATAGTTTGAAGTGTTCTGATTTATTTTCTGCATGCTCCTTGATGCATGTGAATGTATTTATATGTATATATAATATATATAGAAAAATGTATTCCGTTGGGAGTTGATTCACTAACTTTACTGTATTAAAACATGTTATATTGCTAATTTTTCCGTGTTACATTCTATTAGTGAACAGATTGGTCTATCAGTTCAGTGTAAGTAAACTTAATATTTTCTACATCTTGATTTGAACACTGAAGACCACTTTGAATCTACATTTGAAATGTAGTTGATTTCTTGTTAGGAATTTGAGTCTCAGAACTTTGGATTTTGTTGAGAATAATTATTCCACTGACTTAACTGAAATTGGTTTGTTATTTTGTTAAATATTTTGCATGATGTGGTTGTAAAAACAATTCCATGTTTTTTTGTTTTGTTTTGTTTTGTTTTAGAGCTCAGTTCCCCCCAGATTATAAAAGCAGGAAAACTCAAGACAAAGAAATCCAACAAGGTATGTCATGACAAGAAATAGTTTTTAACTATTTTGAAAGGAACTCCTTTTAGATTATTGTGTATTTTTCTGTTCTATCATTGATGTTAGTTTAAAGTTAATATACTAGAAAATTGTAACCTTTATCCAAATCCCCATATGCCTCTGTTATCCTGTCTCTATCAGTTTAGTCAAGGTCATTATTCATGCCACAAGTTGGATCGTAAGACATTCCTCTTGCTGTGTTCTGTTGTTTGGAGAAGGTTTTGCGTTATTTTTGCAAATGCCTGTATATAATTGAATGAGGGTGATTTTAAAAATTGCTTTCACTTTTAGAAAATATTTTTTCTACTTAAAATTTCTAAATTGCAGAATAACACTTATTTACCTCTTAGGCTAGTGATTTCAGCGATATGTCGAACTGGCCAACACCAAGTGAATTAGTGAACACTGAAGTGAGTATTGTTTTAAGACTTCTTTTTTTTTTTTTTAAATAAAGGGAAGGTATTCTCATTTTAACATGCTGAATTTATTTTACTTCAAATTTAGAGAATTGCATTAATAAAATACCCATTTTTCAGATACCTTGATTTCATTCATCACATTGCCTTCATCTGGTTGTATTCTCAGGACCACACATTTGGAAAGGATGGGGTACCATGCTGTCAGCTTCACGTAATGCCTACAAATAGATTACTTTTTAATGTGTCTAAGTGAAGCCCATTTTGTGTTTCAGAATGTATTCTATATATGTTGTCTTTGAGTTACAGTCTTTTCAATGTGCTGAAGTCCTAACTCTCTATATACACATGCATATATATGCATATATATCATATCAAGAGATGTTCAGTAAATGGATTTTTAATTTATCTATGAAAGAAGTTCTAAAAGATGTTCTGGGATATTCTATCAAAAGTCTTTTTAGAGAAGTAGTATATATGGTATCTGGTTACGTGGTTTCATTTGACACTGTACATCTTGCTATTTGTAATTTGTGCAGAATTATTGGTGTGTAGTTTAAAAACTATAAACTAAAACTAGTTAACTATAACTATAAAGCAGCTTAGTTGTTGTATAAATGACATAATAAACTGCACATATATAAGGTGTACAGTTTGATACGCTTTGACCTATGAAACCTTTGCCACAAACAAGATAATGAACTTAATTTGTAATTCTTCCTGTCACATTCCACCCCCTCACCCCATCATCCCAGACAACCACTGATAAGCTTTCTGTCACTTAGTTAATTTGCATTTTCTACAGTTTTTTTTTTTATTGGAGTATAGTTGATTTACAATGCATTTTCTACAATTTTATGTAAGTGGAGTCATACAGGATGCATCCTTTTTTTTTTTCTGGCTTTCATTTAGCTTAATTATTTTGAGATTTATTTATGTTATACGTATTAGTAGTTCATTCCTTCTTATTTTCTGGGTAGTACTCCATTGTATGGATATAATGCTGTGCATTCACCTATTGGTGGACATTTGTGTTGATTCCAGTTTTTGCTATTAAGAATAAAGCTGCTATATCAGGACTTCCCTGGTGGTGCAGTGGTTAAGAAGCCGCCTGCCAATGCAGGGGACACGGGTTCGAGCCCTGGTCCGGGAAGATCCCACATGCCGTGGAGCAACTAAGCCCGTGTGCCACAACTACTGAGCCTGCGCTCTAGAGTCCGTGTGCCACAGCTACTGAAGCCCGTGCACCTAGAGCCCGTGCTCCACAGCAAGAGAAGCCACCGCAATGAGAAGCCCGCGCACCACAACAAAGAGTAGCCTCCGCTCGCCACAACTAGAGAAAGCCCGCGTGCAGCAACGAAGATACAACGCAGTCAAAAATAAATTTATAAAAAAAAATAAAGCTGCTATATAAACATTTATGTACAAAATTTTGCATGGAATAATGCTTTTGTTTTTCTTGGGCGTAGAATGGTTGGATTTTATGGTAGCTATTTATTTAACTTTTAAAACTACTAAACTTTTTATTCCACCAGCAGTGTATGAGAATTCTAGTTATTCTGTAGCCTCACTAATACTCTATGTGGTCAGCCTTTTAATTTTAGTCAGTCTAGTAGGTGTATAGTGGTATCACACTATAGTTTTTAATTTGCATTTTTCTAATGATGTCAAGCACATTTTCATGTACATTTGTCATCACTATATCTTTTTGATGAAGTGTCTGTTCAACTCTAGCCCACATTTCAATTGTTTTCTTGTTACTGCATTATAGAGTTCATTATATATTTTAGATACAAGTCCTTTTATCAAATACTTAGCAAATATTTTCTTCCAGTTTTTCAAATGACTTTTAACAGTGTCTTTTGTAAAGTAGTTTTTTAGTTTTGTTAAAAGTTGGCATTCTTTTTGCGATATTTAGGTAAGGTGTTACCACAGATTTTTGGATATGTTAGTGAAAATGTTCATGAAAATTATTTCATTCAGAAAACCTTTTTGCAGTGTCAGAGTGTCATCAGCCTAGGAAATAAGAAGCCACAAAACAGAAAAGAAAGAGAAGACAAGGTTGAAAAGAGAAGTAACAGTGAAAGCAAAGAAAGCCGGGAAACAAAATTAGATGGTCCTGGTGAAAATGTCAGTGAGGATGAGGCTCAGTCAAGTAATCAACGAAAGAAAGGTTAGTTTGTTTACATCTTCATTTTGATTTTTAAGTTTTTGAAGAGAGTTGTAGTAATGAAGAATTGTATTTAATCAGTTGATTCCTGGTAGTCACCAGTTAGTAGTTTGGATTTCTTCAGGATACCATCTACAATGGTAACTGATTTTCTTTTGTAGCATTTCTGAACTATGAGACTTTCCTCTCTATGTTTGACTTGTATTTTATGTAAGAATGGATTTAAATTCCACCTATAGAGGTGGGTGCAGATATATTCTTGGAAAGTTGTATGATAACTATTGTTTTTTAAATCTGCATTGGAACGGCTCCCTTTTTTCCAGGAAATTTTGAGAAAATATTTTTCTGAGACAAAATTGAGAACAATCTTGGTCAACTCTTTTTCATCATTGCATTCCCCCATTACTCTTTGAAGGAAAAAAATATTGTCTTTACATCCTTTTCCATATTCTTTTAGGAACTTCTCATGTGTCTAGGGACAGATTATGATTTAATTGGTAAAAGCATATTCTCATTCAGTGTTCTGAGTCTCAATAAAAGTGTCTTCAGGGGTTTTTAGGCAGAAAAGTTCTTTAAACTGTCAGAAGGTCAGTAGCTGAGGCAAAGTGAACTCTGGGGAGAGGGCAGGGGGTGCTATTGGAGAGATAGGAAAGGTCCATGTTATTCAGGGCTTTGGTAACTTGGAATTGGTATTTTAAGTACTGTGGGAAGCCATTGAAGCATTTTAATTCTTGGAGGTGATGGGGCATGGGAGGGGACATTTCATGATGAAGTAGTTGCCAGCCAACTTCTTTAATAATGGAACTAACAGCCTGCCGTGTACTGAGCACTTACTTGAATTTTTTCTTTTTTGATGACTATTATAACCCTTAGCTGCAGGGTAATCATGAGGCTCACTCTATATAGTATGCCAAGGGTAATTGCTCAGAAGTGGTGGCAGTAGGACAACCATGTGGTTGTTACAAAAAATTTCCCCATTTCTTGAATGCTTAATCACTTACCTTTTTCATGCTCCTTTGATACATAAGTAGTCTTTTTGACTGTCTAGAAGTCATACAGGTAACAAGACCTATCCTGCTCTAAAATTTGTCTTCCTTGTTAGTTGTTTCAATTAAAACTGATTAGCCGGGCTTCCCTGGTGGCGCAGTGGTTGAGAGTCCGCCTGCCGATGCAGGGGACGCGGGTTCGTGCCCTGGTCCGGGAGGATCCCACATGCCGCAGAGCGGCTGGGCCCATAAGCCATGGCCGCTGAGCCAGCATGTCCGGAGCCTGTGCTCCGCAACGAGAGAGACTGCGACAGTGAGAGGCCCACATAACGCAAAAAAAAAAAAAAAAAAAAAAACTGATTAGCCAACACTAAAATGTGGGTGTTTGTAGTTAAAGTAATTTTATATAATCGGGTCATGCTTAGAGCACACATGTTTAAGTGCTTATTTATGCCCAAAGTATCTCATTGATAGAATTTACAGTATAGACTTTAAGGAGTTTTTAGATTCTTTCATATTCTCTTTTCCTTATCTGTCTGTAGTTTTCAGTATTAGTAGGAAATTAGTACACTAATATTCCCTTAATTACTTTGATAGTTTTTCCTTTGCCCATGAGTCTTTTTGTTTTAGTTGAAATATATAGTGGGCAGAAGACTGAATATTTTGAAACCTTAACTATGGAATTCATGAATAGGTAACATTCAGAATTTCACTATACTAAATATAGCAATTAATTACACTATCATTTAGTCAACAAGGAGCTTTAAATTGCTTGTATCTCTTAAGAAGTTAGGAAAATGTGTAGTAGCTATACAAAGGTTTATCAAATGCAGTTAGACAGATTTTATACTTAAACTTTATTTTGAAAAAGCTCTTTCATTAGTAGTGATGCTGGATGAATTAATATTTGAGGCAGTGATTTGAAACTAAAAGTGTTTTGAATCACTGGTCAAACAGTTAACAGGTATACCCTGTTCTAAAGCCTAAGTATCAAGTACTAGATGGAAGTAGTGTGTACACTTAATATTTTTAATGGCTTATTTGTCAGAATTAAACAGAAGAGTGTGCATTTCACTTAAAAGCAAAAGAATTCCAATGATACTCTATCACTGGCTTTTCACTTGAGTTTTAGAAACTTACTATTTGCCCAAACAAGTTTATTAAAGAGCTGGGGGAGCAGAAGAAAATCATTTTGGTACTCTACAAGTAATCCCTTTAAGGACAAATTAAGTCTTTCATTTATTTAATTAAAATTTAGAGTCCTTTCACAATTGCAAAGCTTTAATGAAAATTGTGCATTGTCATTAAATGATTTTATTTTGTTTTCTTCAAGCTAATAAGCACAAGTGGGTACCACTCCACCTAGATGATGTAAGACCAGACAGTCAAGAAAGACCAGGGTCCCGGAATAGCTCAAGATGTCAACCTGAAGCAAATAAATCACATAACAATAGGAGAAATGACACACGAAGTAAGTAACATTCTAAGAGAAAAATGACTCATCTAGTCTTAATCTTACTATTTTAATAACCATGTATAGTATAAACTATTTGAGAGTAAGTTGCAGACATTGTGCCCCTTTAACCCTAAATACCTTCAGGGTATGTATCGTAAGATCAGTAATACACTGTGACTATCCACAGGCAGAATTTCTCAATAATGCCCTTTACAGTTTTTTCTCCTCTTTTCTGGGATCTAATCTGTGATCACACATTGCTTTTAGTTGTCTCTGTTAGTCTGGAATAATTCTTCTGCTTTTGTCTTCCATGACGTTGATTTTTTTCTGAAGGCTTTAAGACAGTAATGTGGTAGCTATACTTATACCTTTGGGTTTTCTGATGATTGGATTTGGGTTATAAATTTTTGGCAGGAATACTGCAAAAGTTAAATGGTTTTCTTTGTAGTGTATAACTTGAAAACACATGTGGTATTGGTTTATCTTATTATTGGTGATATTAACTTTGAGCACTTGGTTAAGATGAGGTACTCCAGGTTTCTTTATTTTAAAGATACCCTTTTTCCCTTGATAATTAACATGTAATTTGTGGAGAGAGACTTTGAGACTGTGGGAGTACCCATTTTTTCATCAGACTTTTCATATGAGCTTCAGTTTCCATTGGTGATTTTTATTCTTGCCTGATTATTACCGTGATGGTTGCAAATGCTGAATAGGTAATCTTCAGAATTTCACTATACTAGTATTTGTCTTACTGCATCATTCTTTCTGTATTTATTAGCTGGCATTCCACTGTAAAGAACAACTTCCTATTATCAGTGTGGACTAAAGGCTTCTTATGTTTTCAGTGGTTGAAATTGTTATCATGATTGTTTAATTTGATGCTCAAATTGTCCCAGAGTTGGCTAGTGGAAGCCTCTTCTGGGTGGTTTCTGGATCATTCTTTAAAAAGTCAACTTTACTGAGTTAATAATTATATATATTAAAGTACACTGAAATTACTGTCAAGTCCCCTAACCATGAGTCTACTTTCTGTCAGATTTGATTTATCTTTTCAGAATTTCATATAAATTGAACTGTGTAATATAAATTATATCCTCTTGTGTTCTTTTGCTTAGCATAATGATTTTCACATTCATCAGTGTTGTTCCATATATCAGTAGTTTCTACCTCTTTATTGCATAATAGTTTTCTATTGAATGGATATTCTCCTTTATCCATTCATGTTGGTGAATATTTGGCTTGTTACCAGTTTTTGCCTGTTATGAGTAATGCCGCCATGAACATTTGTGTACAGACCTTTGTGTGGGCATATGTCTTAGATTCTCGGGTAAACATCTAGGAGTGGATTGCTAGGTGGTATGGTAAACGTGTGTGTGTGTGTATATTTTTTTGCTGTGTCATACAGCATGCGGGATCTTAGTTCCCCGACTAAGGATTGAACCCATGCCCCCTGCAGTGAAAGTGTGGAGTCGTAACCACTGGACTGCCAAGGAAGTCCCCAGTAAATGTATATTTAATGTAATAAGAAATTGCCAAATGTTTCTTTTTTTAAAAAATTTATTTATTTATTTTATTTTTGGCTGTGTTGGGTCTTCGTTGCTGCGCGCAGGCTTTCTTTAGTTGCGGATGTGGGGCTACTCTTTGTTTTGGTCCGCAGACTTATCATGGCGGTGGCTTTGCTTTGTTGTGGAGCACAGGCTCTAGGCATGCCAGCTTCAGTAGTTGTGGTATGTGGACTCAGTAGTTGTGGCTTGCGGGCTGTATAGCACAGACTCAGTAGTGGTGGCGCAAGGACGTAGTTGCTCTGTGGCATGTGGGATCTTCCCGGACCAGGGCTCGAACCTGTGTCCCCTGCATTGGCAGACGGATTCTTAACCACTGTGCCACCAGGGAAGTCCCACCAATGTTTCTTTCCTTTGCCATATGTTAGGTCATATGTCTTGTGGAATTTCCCATATTTTGGATTTGGCTAAATGCTTTATCGTGATACTCCTTAACATGTTCCTTTGTCTTTTCTAAGTGTAACTGACAATAATAACTAGAGGTTTGGTTAAGATCCAGTTTATTTTTGTTTTTCTTTTGGTAGGAATATTTCATAGTGTGTTTGTGTCACAGCAGTAGGAATAAAATGTCTGGGTGTCTTACTTTCAGATTGTGTTGCGGTTGAGTTGGTTCAGGTGTTGTTAGCCTTATCCATCCATCATAAAGTGTCCCATCAGGGACTTCCCTGGTGGCTCAGTGGTTAAGAATCTGCCTGCCAATGCAGGGGACACGGGTTCGAGCCCTGGTCCGGGAAGATCCCACATGCCGTGGAGCAGCTAAGCCTGTGCGCCACAACTACTGAGCCTGTGCTCTAGAGCCCGTGAGCCATAACTACTGAGCCCACGTGCCGCAACTGAAGCCCGCGTGCCGCAACTGAAGCCCGCATGCCTAGAGCCCGTGCTCTGCAACAAGAGAAGCCACCACAATGAGAAGCCCGCGCACTGCAACGAAGAGTAGCCCCTGCTTGCCACAACTAGAGAAAGCCCATGCACAGCAACAAAGACCCAACACAGCCAAAAATAAGTAAATAAAATTAATTAATTAAAAAAAAATCATTCCCCAGATACATTATTTCAGCAGGGTTTGTTCAAGTTTCAGAAAGAAGAGGACAGGAGGATATGTGGAAGCAGTTGGCTGAGCATTTGTGTTTTTTGTTTGTTTGGTTTTTTTTGGCCACCCCATGCAGCTTGTGGGATCTTAGTTCCCCGAGCAGGGATTGAACCCGTGCCCTCGAGGGTGAAAGTGTTGATTCCTAACCACTGGACTGCCAGGGAATTCCCTGAGCATTTGCTTTTATAGTTTTCTACTGAAATCTTTTAAGTCTGATAATTTTTAAGGCATATTGTCCTGTGAAAGCATCGTACAGTGAGTCCCTGTCTAATCACCATCCAGATTTAGTCACTCTGCTATCTTTAATTCATCCATCTGCTGAATCATTTGAAAGTACCTTGCAGATATCGTGACACTTCAGCACTGATGTCCCAAGAAAATGGAGCATCTAAGAAAATCAACACTAATTCATTATATCATCTAAAATCTAGTCAATGGTTATATTTACTCAATTGTCCACAAAATATGACTTTAAAATTCTAAAACTTGCTACTGGTATCTAGTGAGTAGAGACCAAGGATAATGCTAAACATCCTACAGTACCCAGGACAGCCTCCACACTAAAGAGTTATCTGGCTCAAAATGTCAGTTATGCCATGGTTGAAAAACCCTGGTCTCTGGGGTATGCATACCTTTACTTATTTGATTGTTTCCAATTGTTTTTCAAAATTGAAATGTACTTGTTTTTATTCCAGCATTATACAAAAGTTCTGTCTTGGTCAACATTTGCTATTGGGAATTCCCTGGCGGTCCAGTGGTTGGGACTCTGTGCTTCCACTGCAGGACTGCAGAGGGTACAGGTTTGATCTCGATCCTTGGTCGGGGAACTAGGGTCCTTCATGCTACAAAGTACAACCAAAAAGGAAAAAACAAAACAGAAAAATAAAACAAAAAAATATTGATATTATGGGACCTTAAAATGTTTTTCAGACTGGGACAGAGATAAAAAAATACTCTTTCATTGTCTTAATTTGCATTTCTCAAGGCCACTGAGGCTGAGCACCGTTTTTTTTATTGTCTATTTGCATTTTCTTGTTTGCCCTGCCAGTCTTTTAATGATTTTTTCCTATTTGGTTGCGGGGTGTGTGTGTGTGTGTGTGTGTGTGTGTGTGTGTGTGTGTGTCTGAGAGAGAGAGAGAGAGAGAGAGAGGATGCATGAGGGCATAAGAGACATTTGTATGAGTTCTATATGTATTCTGGATATAATTGCTATATTGTGCTGCAGATATCTTCTCCCAGTTTTCATTTCCTTTTTTCTTTAAAAGAAATGTCTTTTACTTAAATAGAAACACCCTTTCCTTAAAAAAATTCCTATTTGTGAAAATAAGTATTATTGTGAAAATAAGTTTTTGTTTTTAGGAGTTTTATATAGTACAAAACTCAGTTGTCTTGGAACTTGTTAAATTTTTAACAGTACAGTTTTAGCAAACGATCTCGTTATCTTTTTAGTATATTACTTATCAGAATATCTTCTTTATATGTCAATACATAAGATGTCTTTTATGCCAGAGACATTTTGATAAATTCCTATGGAATCTCTTAAGTTTGTATCTTTCTGAAGAATGACTGGTTACTAATAACTAGTTACAAAGTGGGGAGGAGTGGTTACCACGTTTTCGTAAAGATAATCATGTTTTCATAGTTGCAAATTGGAATGTATAAAAATATTTTTATTTTAAAAAAGGTTGGAGGCGTGAAAGAGAAAAGAGAGATGATCAAGATGAAGTTTCCAGTGTGAGAAGTGAGGGTGGTAATATCCGAGGTACCTTTAGAGGCCGAGGAAGAGGCCGAGGACGGGGAAGAGGACGAGGCAGAGGAAATCCTCGATGTGAGACTTGATTTTTTGGTTTGTTAAATTAAATGAACACTGAAAAAAGTGTGCAAGTCGCCTGTTTTTCCCACTATCCCATATACTGTTTTAACTGATTTTACGTGTCTGATAATAAAGATGGTTTTGTATTTGTTTGTTACCCCTTGAGATACTTCACTTTGGATTTTTCTTTATAGTAACTATTTCTTTTTTTTTGTTTTTCAATCTGTGATCATTTTTCTTTTTCTTTATTACATTAAGTGAACTTTGATTATTCATATGGTTATCAAGAACATGGTGAAAGGACTGGTCAACCATTTCAAACAGAACTTAATACCAGTATGATGTATTACTATGATGATGGTACAGGCGTACAGGTGTATCCTGTGGAAGAAGCATTGCTTAAAGAGTATATTAAACGCCAAATGTAAGTCAATCAGACATAAAGAGATGGGGCAGGAAAATCCATTGCAATATCAAACTTTAACAACACTGATAATATAACACATTTTCTAAGCTGTTTATTAGTAAAATTAGAACATGTTAATAGTATTTTATATTTTGTTTCTAGGAAATGTTAGTAGAGCATGTATAAAGTATTTTTAAAAATTTATTTTTGGTTCATGTTGTTATTTATATAAGACTCCTTTCTCTCTTGAGGTACTTCTCTGCTTAAAGGATATTAGTTAAAATGTCACGGCATAATATGAATGATTAAATATAAGAATATAAAACTACTTCATATGTTTGAAATTGAACAAGTGAAATTTAGCTTATTTGCAAATAAATGTTTATATTAAAATTTGCAAATGAACATAAATGGCAAAAAATGGTGACATCTTCTGACTTTTATAACAGTTGGTTTCAGGATCATAAGTTTGTTTTTTAACTTTTAAGTTCTCTTTCTTTGTGACACGTATTCAAAGGAGACTACCTAATCTTTTTTAGTTTTAGACTTTTTATTTTAGTTCTTGTAATAGTTGCTTTCTGAATATTGAACTTGAAGTTTAGGAGAATATTAGTTTGTTGTATTATCTTTAAGCAAAAAATAACCCCTCTGCCTGTTGGTATTGTGTAGGATGTTTTGCATATTAAATAGTGTGTTTATATAGTGGTGAGAAAAGTGCTTCCAAGTGATGTGCCTAACTAATTTACTGAAATTTGAACCTTTTTTTATCCTTATAAAGGGAAGGAAAAAGGCTATTTTTGAAAAGGCATAAGCATTTTTAGTTTTATTTATTTATTAGTTTTTTGGCTTTGTTGGGTCTTCGTTGCTGCGCCCAAGCTTTCTCTTGTTGTGGTGAGCGGGGGCTACTCTTTGTTGCGGTGCATGGACTTCTCATTGCAGTGGCTTCTCTTGTTGCGGAGCACAGGTTCTAGGTGCGTGGGCTTCAGTAGTTGCGGCACGCGGGCTCAGTAGTTGTGGCTCGCGGGCTCTAGAGCACAGGCTTCATAGTTGTGGCCCACGGGCTTAGTTCTCTGCAGCATGTGGGATCTTCCCGGACCAGGGCTCGAACCTGTGTCCCCTGCATTGGCAGGCAGATTCTTAACCACTGCACCACCAGGGAAGCCCCATAATCATTTTTAAAACATCCACCTTTATTTTAAAAAGAAAATGGACCCTAGTCCATTAATAGAAAATAATATGTTCATCAGCATTAACCAGGCAACTTCCTGGGATGCCTTCATGGTGGATTTGATTGGCTTACAATATGAAGCAACTTGTTTATTTTATTCTTGCTTCTTTTGTTACAGTTGATGCAAACACTGAAGAAAAGGGCCTTTTTATGGGCAGAAAGTGCCTGGCATGTGGCTATCAACTTCAAAACACTATTCCTGTCTCCCTTTGTAACTCTTGCTGCCAGGTCCGTTCTGAGACCTGACAGTGGACATGCAACTCCATGTCAGGATAATCGGCCTCCAGTGTGCTCATACAAGTGAGGGAGGAGCATAGCTACTTCAGTGTTGACAAAATTTCTGATCATGCAGTGTAGAATCCAGAGCTTCTAAGGTAGGACATGATAATGTCCCCTAGGATACTGAACAAAGTATCAGACGTGGCATTGGGTATGACTCCTTTTTTTGTTATTATTTAGCAGCAGAGTTTTTGGCAGATACTAGAGCACCAGGTTTAGAATGGCTCTTCACTGTTACTGATCTCTGATTAGTGGACATCTGGATTTGAGGAGTCATGTTTTTGACTTTGTGTCTTTAAGGTTTCTCAAACATACATAGGCTTATTCATTAGGGTTTGGATTTTCCTCTTTGAGAAGTTACTGAAAAACTTCTTGTACTTCAGGAATACTATGCTAAATAATTTGAAGTAGGAGGCTTAACTGTATTATGGATGGTTGAGTTCTTAAAATCATTTTAACTGAAAATGTATGTTAATAATTTGACATTTTTGATATCAGGATATTAAAAATGGAAAATCTTGATTATTTTTATCTGGGCAGTCTCTTGGCATTCAGATTTAGACATAAGTATGTTTGCAGCCCGTTAGAAGTTTTAAAAAGTGTATACTATAGGTAATAGTGATTCATGAATTTATTTAGATACTGTGTTTCTCACAGAGTACTAGATTAAAAAGGCATCTTACTAATTATTCAGAGAAGTTTTTGTCTAAGAACACTTTTGTGTTTAAATCACATGTCTTAATGTCTGAAAATTTTGAATTTATGCGTATGTATTATGTGCCTACTGCATTTTAGCCACTTTCGTGAAAGGGCTTTTGAAGTGTAACAGAAAGCAGAACAGATGTATTCTGTGCCCACCACATGCCAGGCACTGTGAAAAGGGCTTTTGAGGCATAACAAAAATCAAAATGTTAATCTCTTCAAGACTTCAATTATTTTCTTTAGCATTTAAGAAGAGTAAATGATTTATTAGTGTTACTGCGATGTCAGTTGAATTTCACTGATCTCAGGGAGCTTTGCACTTTGATAGTTGGATAAATATCAGAGTATAAAGAAGCAACTTGGGTATTTACATTTCTAAAATAAGACATTTTTCCCACCCAGTGAAAGGTAGCTCAAAGCCAGTTTTCAGTTGTAGGTGATTATTTCTTCAAAGTTAGAATTTGACCTAAATAATTCAAGGGTATCTTGAGTTACCCAACCTTACTCCCAAATATGAGCTGGCGTGCTTTCTTATCATTTGCCACCCTTCTTTGAAAACTTGCTCTGTGATTTGGAAACAGTATAGGATTTTTAAACTGTAAGCCATATCATTTGATGTCATGTATTTCTTTTGTATTATTCTTTTGTACATTTCCCCCTATTTATCCTCTTCTGCTTTTCTAGAATCTTGTTCTCGTGTTTTTTTTTTTCTCGTGTTTTTTTATATGCAGACTGTAATTTAAATATGTGTTTCTCAAATGCCATTATTATATGTATTCTTCATATTATCTTTATCTCTTGGAACTTGTAGTCGTTGATGATACGGTTTGTTCATTTACACATCTCTCTATACTTTCCTAGAGAGAAGATTAAGGTGTATAAGTTGCTTCTGTATTTTTTTTTGCCCATATATATACCTCATGGTGTTGCAGATATTCTTTGTTTAACTGTATTCCGTTCACTTTTTTTTTTTTTTTTTTTTTGCGGTACGCGGGCTGCTCACTGTTATGGCCTCTCCCGTTGCGGAGCACAGGCTCCGGACGCGCAGGCCCAGCGGCCATGGCTCATGGGCCCAGCCCCTCCGCGGCATGTGGGATCCTCCCGGACCGGGGCATGAACCCGCGTCCCCTGCATCAGCAGGCGGACTCCCAACCACTGCGCCACCAGGGAAGCCCTTCCGTTCACTTTTAACGTCTTTTATAGTTCTGCCTCTCGAAGGGGGGAGATAGTGAACCATTCAAATATAAAATTGTGTGCATCTGTGCCCACATATTCACTCAGTTTTTACTAAGCATTGTGCTGAATGCTAGGGTTCAGAAGTATTAAACAGTGTCAGTACCCTGCCAAATTAGAAAACAAACTACTCTGTAAACTTGACAAAGAATACTTCCAATATACCATTATTTTCAGTGATGGGAAAAAGTTGGAAGGTAGTCTGTTGATGTGTTTAACTTTGTTATTTAAATGAAGCAAGTTCAAGTAGCTTTGAAATGAAATTTTTCACTTAATTGACTCATTAAAAAGTTAATTATTGAACTGTTTTAAAGTATGGTTAATTGTTTATACCTGGGTAAAGCTGATCTAACAAAGAAGTACGTTTTTGGGAAGATAGTATTCTAAATTTCTTTCTACCTGTGTAAGAGAAATTACTAACAGTAGGGTTTTGTTGTTATTATATTTACCCTATGTATGTTGTGTTAAATGTATATAATGTTATTAATAAATCAAAATAGTTTTATAACAATTGATATTATAAGCCATAGACATTTTAATATTCTATTGAATAAATTGATGAAATTTATATTTACTTCTTTCTTTCTTTTTTCAGTGAATATTACTTCAGTATAGAAAACTTGGAACGGGACTTCTTTCTTAGGAGAAAGATGGATGAGCAAGGTTTCTTGCCTATTTCCCTGATTGCTGGTTTCCACCGTGTTCAGGCCCTCACTACAAACCTTAATCTCATATTAGAGGTAATTTTTCATACACAAAAACAGTCTGTACTTTAGTCATGCTGTGAACCTAAAACTGCTCTAAAAAATAAAGTCTATTAAACAATTTTAAGGAAAAAGCAAAAACAATCTGTAGTTACCTAAGGCTTAGACTATATCTCAAGGCTTTTTTGCCATTTTATAAAACCCAAATAAATGTCTGACCCCTCAAAGGATTACTTAATGATGTTTCCACCTATTTTTAACCTGATCCTTCTTAGATGGGTTGAACCCCAACACAAACTAGAACACTCTTGGGTGTTCTTGGTCCTTTTAGTCTTCAGGTTGCTATAAAATAGCATGTATTAAATTATTAAATTTAAATTAAATTTAAATTTTGAGAATTTTTCCTGTATAAAGAAGGCTAATTTAAAATGGGCTTTCTAGTTGTGTTCATTTTTTTTGTTTTTAATAAATTTATTTTATTTATTTAGTTTTGGCTGCACTGGGTCTTTGTTACTGTGCGTGGGCTTTCTCTAGTTGCGGCAAGTGGGGGCTACTCTTCGTTGCGGTACGTGGGCTTCCCATTGTAGTGGCTTCTCTTGTTGTGGAGCACAGGCTCTAGGCGTGCGGGCTTCAGTAGTTGTAGCATGCGGGCTCAGTAGTTGTGGCTCACGGGCTCTAGAGCACAGGCTCAGTAGTTGTGGCGCATGGGCTTAGTTGCTCCGCGGCATGGGGGATCTTCCCGGACCAGGGCTTGAACCCATGTCCCCTGCATCGGCAGGTGGATTCTTAACCACTGTGCCACCAGGGAAGCCCGGGAAAGGATATTTAAAAAAAAAAAAAAATTTTCTGTTACCATTATGGTTAGCATTATTAATACATAGTGACTGATTTTTTTTTGTAGAGTTTATTTATTTATTTTTGGCTGCGTTGGGTCTTTGCTGCTCTGCATGGGCTTCCTCTAGTTGCGGTGAGCAGGAGCTATCCTTTCTTGTGGTGCGTGGGCTTCTCATTGCGGTGGCTTCTCTTGTTGAGGAGAATGGGCTCTAGGTACAGGGGCTTTGGTAGCTGTGACACACAGACTCTAGAGCGCAGACTTAGTAATTGTGGTGCACAGGCTTAGTTGCTCCACGGCACGCGGGATCTTCCCAGACCAGGGCTCGAACCCGTGTCCCCTGCGCTGGCAGGTTGACTCTTAACCACTGCGCCACCAGCGAAGTCACCACAGTGACTGATTTACAGTAAGAAATACTAGTACTGTGAAACATAGAAACACATAAGCATAGTGATTTAGAATAGCACAGGTTTGAATTCACTTAACATTCATTATGTACCTACCACTTATTACAGTGGGAAAGATGTCTTTTTTTCCCTTAAGAAGGTAAGCCTTCATTAGGCTTTGCAGTATAAACATACTGATTTAGAGCATGGGCTTTAGAACCTGCATACATATCCTCCTAGCTCTGTGACTTCAGGCAGTGTCCTGAGACTTCTGTAAAGTGGAAATTGTTGCAACAATACATACTTCATAGGGTTGTTATGAGTATGAAATGTGTAATGGCAGTGTCTGGCAGTGTCTGGCAGTGTAATGGCAGTGTCTGGCAGTGACAGTGTCTTAACTGTCTTGAAAAAACTATCAAAAGAAGCAAAATATATTTTAGCTAACACCCGTATCTGCTCTGGTTGAGTGTGTCTACACAGCTAAACTTACTGAATCTGTTTCCTCCTCTCCCATTTGTTTTTCACCTTACTGCACTCTTTTTCTTTCTTTCTTTTTTTTTTTTTACTTTGATACATATGTATATTGTAATATGATGACTATTGCAGTGTTATCACTTAACATAGTTATAGTACAATATAATAGAAATAATAGAAAATAATAGGAAAAAACCCCTCAGACACCCAGAAATGTTGACTGTATACTGTAGCTCATTGTTTAGGAGTTCAAGATAACCAAGATTTGGTTTTAGTAAAAATATGTCTAACTCTGTCTTGATCTTTTCCTTAATTTGTGTATGCTGTGAGCCTTTTAAGTTTTTGTATGAGTCTTTTAAGGCCTGAGTCACAACTTTCCCCCTTTCTGTTTTCTTTATTTTCTTCTTGAGTTTTTTTTTTGTTCTTTTCTTTTCAGTAGGGAATTAATTCCCTGTGATTCAAGATTCAAAGGGTATATAGTGAAAGATTTCCTTCTCATCTTTCACCAACAGTGAACTAGTTAAACCTTCCTTGGTATGGCAAGTAGTGTTACTTCTTTTTTGTGTATTCTTCCTGAGATAGTTCATGTTTTACTACATATACTGTTATACCCCTTCCTTTTATAAAAACAGCATATATTGGAAGATCATTCAATAGCTATATATAAAGAACTTTGAATTTTTTCCTGAAAATTTTTCTTTAAATTGAGACATAACTTATACATTGTATATTAGAAGTTATAAGATTAAGAATGACTTTCCCCTATGTACATACTTGTGTTACTGCTACATGGATTAAGATAGAACATTTTCAACATCCCAGGGAGCTCCCTTGTACTCCCTCCTAGTCTGAATCACTGTTCTCCTCAAAGTAGTTGCTTTTCAGAGAGGTCCTTCATCTTGTTTTTTAAACATTACATAATCAAAGTTATTTGAAATCTTTTATATCTGACTTTTGCTTGTTATTTCTGTAAGGCTTATCCATGTTGTTGTTGTGTGTGGCAGTTGTTTATTTTTTATTTTGCAGTAGTATTCAATTGTATGAATATAACTCTTTTCAGGTTCCTTTTAATAGACATCTGGGTTCTTTACAGCTTGAATATGTGACTGTTGTGAACATTATTATTGTACATATTTTTGGATGGACATATGCACTTATTTTTCTGTGAAATTGATGGGTAACAGGTTATGTGCGTGTGTGTGTGTGTGTGTGTGTTCGTGTGTATACAAACATATATATATATATATATGAGCTTACCTTTGTAAATACTGCTAAACATTTTTCCAAGATATTGAACCAATTAAAACTACTGCTGTTCAGAGTTTGACTTGCTTCACATACCAGCGAACACTGTTGGTGGTCTTTTTCCAAAACATTTTGAAAAACTTAAGCCCATAGCAAAGTTTTAAGGTGATTTTTCTTTTTCTTTTTAAAATTCAGGTGTAAATAACATGATGTAAAATGCAGGGCTACTAGGTGTTCATTTCGAGTTTTGAAAATTGTATAAGCCTGCTCCAAACAAGATATAGTTAATTACTCTAAAAACTTCCTTAGTGGCCCTTTGCAGTCAGTCCCCCATCCCCTCACCCTTTGCCCAGCCAAACCAAAGCATTTTTCTGATTCTGTTACCAGAGATTTATTTTGTCTTTTCTTTACATTTGTGTAAATAGAGTTCTTCTGTCTCCTGGCTCTTTCATTTGTAGTTTTTGAAATTCATCCATGTTGTTGCAAGATCTGGATGCTGGGTATACTGCTTTGCTACTGGGGTGTCATTGCTTCTAGAACATTCAGTGGACAAAACTAGGAAAATACATTAAAAAAATACACATATCAGCAACTCAGACCCTTTACTGTAAGATTCTTCTTTATTTCCTTCATTCTATATTTCAGACTCTCTTCTCTTTCAGTGAGTATCCTGATTCCCATCAAAAGAGTTTGTTTTTAAATAATTTTAATACTAATTTTAAAGTAATGTCCAGTTACAGAAAATATACTTACTTGAGAAGTAAGTATGATACTAACATTAAGGGCATACAAATGTAAGATACTTAAAGTAAAACATATAATGTGTTCTCCAACTAAAATATAGCGAGTTTTAATCTTTATAAGTTAACAGTTTGTATGTTGAGTTTTTATATTTGTATTTTTTCTAGTTTCTCAAGGTGTGAGTATCCTTGAATTTCAGGGAAGATTCAGCTCAGTAAGGCTGTAATTTTTATTTGGAAGAAATTTTGTTCTAGTTTTATTTTATCCTTAAATTACAGCAAGCTGACGCGGGCCTCTCACTGTTGTGGCCTCTCCCGCTGCGGAGCACAGGCTCCGGACGCGGAGGCTCAGCGGCCATGGCTCACGGGCCCAGCCGCTCTGCGGCATGTTGGTTCCTCCCAGACCGTGGTACGAGCCCGTGTTCCCTGCATCGGCAGGCGGACTCTCAACCACTGCGCCACCAGGGAAGCCCCAGCAAGCTATTTTTGAGAGCCACCATATCCTAGTGGCTGAGGGTTCTCGTGTTGGACAGATAATAAATGGTTTGAGTCCTGGTATTGCCTCATACTATTGCCTCATACTAAGTCCATAACCTTTATCAAGTTACTTTATTTCTTTGAGCCTCAATTTCCTCATCTGTGAAACCTACTTTACACTTACAAGGTATTATGAGGAATCTCTGCATGTGTGTGTTTATTATTCAGTAATGGTGGTATTTATTACAATAATTAAATATAATGCCTAAATTTTATTTGGTGATATTAAGGGAAAACTAAAGGAAATAGGAGAGGAAAAAATTGTCAATAAAAAATTATAGTAGTTTGCTTCAAGTTGATGCAATACTCCTTAATTGAAAATTTGTTTTTCACAATTAGAATAATTTGCTACATGTTAAACCAGGATATTTGTTACTTTACAGGGGCAAATTATTTTAATATCTGTTCTGTTCATGGATATTCTGAGAAATATATTACATTAACTGTAATACCCTATGCTGATTTCAGACTTAAAAAATGTTTAGGTTATTAGAAATATAGGAGGTACAATTAAATTTTTTGAATGAATGTTCTTTAATAACTCAAAATTCCTATTTATAGGCACTGAAAGATAGCACAGAAGTGGAAATTGTGGACGAGAAAATGAGAAAAAAGATAGAACCAGAAAAATGGCCAATTCCGGGCCCTCCTCCACGTAGTGTGCCACAAACAGACTTCTCTCAACTGATTGATTGCCCAGAGTTTGTACCAGGCCAAGCCTTTGGTTCACATACAGGTAACACCTTTTCTTCTAGAGCAAACAGCATAACAGTGGGCTATTTAGTCCAATTTACCTTTCCTTTTTAAAGTTTATATAGATTCAATAGAAAATTAAAGATAACCCAGTGACTTATGATGCTTTAAATTCTATTCATATTGCCTCCCGTAGAAAGTTATAAATTAAATAGGGATTTAAGAATTATGGGAGGAGCTCTGCTCTATTTATTCTTATTTGTCTACTTTGTCACATGTGGAGTTTCTACCTATCTTCTTAATTTTACTAAATGATTATAGATGTATTCTGCCAGTTTTCCCCTTGTAAGATTGGAATAGTCTAAAAGTTTTAAGAGTGGGGGTAGCCTTCCTTTAATTTTTTTCTTATGTGCTTCAACTTTGTCTTGAAATGACAAGATGACCTATATTCTAAATCAGAATTGGGGATCTCTTATGAAGTTATTGTAATTATATATTAAGGAATTAGTGGTATTTAGAATTTCCAAAAATTGCTTTAATGTTAAGAATTTTTTCCTGGATCATTTTTAAGACATTCCCTCTTGGGAAAAAATATGTGTGCTTAAACTTTTTTCAGTCAGGGTGATGATCTACTGATGCTCTTGGATGTCATTTGATCGGAATATGCAGAGGAATAGGTGACTCACTGAAATATCATTATAAACATTGGAAAAAATCGTCTGCAGAAATGAAAGCGACCAGACTTCTGTGCAAGAATGTCTACTCCCAACTCCTGTGGAGGAGGTTGGGCCAACACTACAGTGGAGATAAACACCTTTGTGATGATGATGAAAGACAGACCAGAGGACTGCTGTTGTTTTTATAGGAGCTGCCCATTTGTTTGTAATTAGCCTGGGCTGCATGTGCTACTTTTGTTCACGGTGGGAAAGTTAATTATCATTCTGGAAATATTGCAAGATTCTGTCTTTTCCTTCCAGACTTATGTACTTGTGTCCAGATCAATAAAGCAGAAATAGAGAGGCTTGAGTGGAATTTCTCAGATTGTTAGGTCCTTTGCTATTTGATTTGCTCTTCACAGTATAGTGTACATTGTATAATTCACATGTTGTCGTAGTGTTTCGCATGGACTATAAGATTTATTAATGTGGACACTAAGGGATAAGAAACTTAAGAAACGAATGAGAGTGTTTTTCTTTTTTACTCTTCAGAATGTATTTTTGATATACCAGTGTAGAGAGCTCCCATCAATAAAGCACTGATGGACAGTCTCACAGATATTTTTATTTAGTGTTTCTTTGTCAGCCCTCTGTGCCTCTAAACCTAGCAAGCAACTTGGGCAGGTGTTTTAAAAGTTGAAGAACTTCAAGTGACATTTTTTAGGGTTTTTTAAAAAAAGAATACAATGTCTGATGGTAAGTTAGATTAAGTTATTGTGTAAACTTGGGGTCCAAGATGACATTTTTAACTGTCTTATGAAGAGGCATTTGGTCAGTTGTTAAATAGAAAATACTTTTTCCACAGGGTAGCTAAGATAGGTCAGTCAAGTTGGTGATGCCTGTCCATTAACCATTTATGCATTATTAATAAAATTACAAGAATAAAATCACAATGTTTGTACATTTTTGTGTTTTTTAAAAAATATATATACTCATTTACATGCACATACATATTGCCTGAACGAACTTTTTGGCCAACCCAATATAAGCACATGTATTGTGAATATTGTGAAACATACAACTTCATGGTAGAAACATTATTCAAGCTTAAAGAGCAATTAGAGATGATTATATCATAAACTTAAGTAGGTATTTAAAAATTCAATTTCTGTGTTAAAAATAGTAGATACTAATTTCTCTACCTTGTGCCAGATACTGTTCTAATCGTGTATACATGAACTATACATACTAATTTAGTTAATTCTCCCAGTTACTAGTGGTGGTTCCTAGTCTACTTTTAAAGCTTTATTTACTGCATGAACAGAGATGATTCATAGTGTTAGGAATAGGGTTCTCTAGAGTTAATGTTTTTTTCATTCCTATAACTTCAGTATTAAGACTGACAGCCCAAACCTTTTCACTCGTACTAATTTTTTGGATCACTTGATGACATGTACCATTAAGTTGTAGAGCAGCAGTGTCCAATAGAAATATTACGTTTGCCACACATGTAATCCTAATAATTTTTAATAGCATTAAAAGCTGTAAAACAAATGAAATTACTTTTAATATATGCAAATATTATGACATTAATATAAAAATTATGGACCAATGTTATTTTTGTACCAAGTGTTTGAAATCTGCTGTGTATTTTACACTTATCCTGAATACATTTCAGTACTAGCCACATTTCAAGTGCTTTGTAGCTCCACAAAGCTAGTGGCTATTTTATCGAACAGTGCGGTTTTAGAGCATTTTCTGTTATGAATCATTATACTTCTTTTTAAAGCAATATAGTAATCTGGTTGTTGAAGCCTGGATCTGTGTGTCCATGGAGAAGATAATAAATCCATCTGATTCTCATATGTAGTAGATGAAAGTAAAATCTTGGACTACTCTCTCAAACTCACTCCTGGAATGTGCCTTTGCATTTTCATTTAGTAAGTTAGGATTGTTGGTGTTCATTTATTTCAACTTTCTCTCTGTAGTATTCAACTTTGCAATATTTTCAGGGAATTGGCTTTGAGGAGTAAATAATGTTTAGAAGTTTACAGTATAAATTTGTTTTTAAAACACTTTTTGTCCAAAACAAGTTCATATTGCATTATAACTTAAATATTCTTCAACTTCTGAAAAAAAATTTATAAAGGAATTGATTTGTATTTTATAGAGCATATAATTACTTTGATTAAAAGTGTGGAGAAAGGTATTTTTAATTCCAGCAGAGTTGTAAAATATTTTGTTATTACCAGGACATTGCACTTTAATGACGTGACATTCTAGTCTTCACAGTATTCACTGCGAGCCAAGGGCCAAACTGCATTTAGGTAAACCTTGTTAGGCAAAGGAGATGAGAAAAGTATGAGTATTGGCCGCCTTAGTATAGATCCTAGCAGAACAATGAAGGATTGATTTTGCCTTGAATAAAATACGAATTTTATTTGCTTAGTAGCATTTAAGATTCCCTAATTTCATTACAATTAATGAATCTAAGGTTTCACAGAGAATTGACTCCCAAATAGATGTATTGTCATAATTAGTAAGTGACTTGCATTGATATTCTTGAGAAGTTTGAATGAATGTGTCTGCATAAGGATTGATAACATTCCTGTTATTATTCATTGGCTTCACTCGAATACATCTTACAAACCCCTTTGGGTTTGAAAATCATTGAAAGATTATAATTGAGATTGATTTATCATGTTTTTGTGAAGAAAGAAAATGCCCAATTAAAGAAAAAATGTTTGTTATAAGTAAGAAAACCATTATTTTAACTATAGAACTAACTTAAAATTTTAGAGTCTGCCCCAAATTCTCCAAGAATTGGAAGTCCACTGAGCCCAAAGAAAAACACTGAAACAAGTAATCTTCAAGCAGTGTCTAGAGGTTTGTCTGCCAGTTTGCCCGACTTGGACTCAGAACCTTGGATAGAAGTAAAAAAGAGACATTGTCCATCCCCAGTGAAATTGAAGGTAAGTTGTTATGACCCAAGTGAAGTGTGATATATCTTATTTAGAAATTTAAAAAAAAAATTATTTATTTATTTTTGGCTGTGTTGGGTCTTCGTTGCTGTGTGTGGGCTTTCTCTAGTTGCGTTGAGTGGGGGCTGCTCTTTGTTGCGGTGCACGGGCTTCTCAATGTAGTGACTTCTCTTGTTGCGGAGCTCGGGCTAGGGCTAGGCGTGTGGGCTAGCGCGTGGGCTAGCGCGTGGGCTAGGCGCATGGGCTCAGTAGTTGCGGCTTGCAGGCTCTAGAGCACAGGCTCAGTCATTGTGGTGCATGGGCTTAGTTGCTCTGCGGTATGTGGGATCTTCCCAGACCAGGGCTCAAACCCGTGTCCCCTGCATTGTCAGGCGGATTCTTAACCACTGTGCCAGCAGGGAAGTCCGAAGTGTGATGAATTCTGAGTGGAGTGTAAGGCCACTGTTTTTGAGGTACATATATAAATTTGGAAAAGTTTTAAGAAAAATGGTAAAAATGGGAACCATTGCCCTTCAGTAAAGCTTATGGGTTACTAAGTAATTGAAAATAAATAATATTGTATCATTTTTTTAAATTTATCTTATTTCTGAATATGATTTAAGAATATTTCGCTTTAACCTTTTTTACTTGAAATTAGTTTATATTTGAATAATATTTCAGTTTTTTTTTTTTATTTTTTTGTGTTTTTTTTGGTATGCGGACCTCTCACTGTTGTGGCCTCTCCCGCTGCGGAGCACAGGCTCCGGACGCGCAGGCTCAGCGGCCAGGGCTCACGGGCCCAGCTGCTCCGCGGCATGTGGCATCTTCCCGGACCGGGGCACGAACCCGTGTCCCCTGCATCGGCAGGCGGATTCTCAACCACTGCGCCACCAGGGAAGCCCCCGTATTTTGATTGCTGTCACATAGTCCTTTCCTGCTCTTTGTACCTACCATCTTAAAACTTTTTAGGACCCCAGAGGGATCAATGGTGTCTGCCTTCCCTGTAGCCTTCCTTTTTTTTTTTTTTAAATAATATTTATTTATTTAGGCTGTGCCGGGTCTTAGTTGCGGCACACGGGATCTTCATTGCAGCATGTGGGATCTTTTTAATTGCAGCATGCGCACTTTTTAGTTGCGGCATGTGAACTCTTAGCTGCGGCATGCGTGTGAGATCTAGTTCCCCGACCAGGGATCAAACCTGGGCCCCCTGCGTTGAGAGTGCAGAGTCTTACCCACTGGACCACCAGGGAAGTCCCAGCCTTCCTTGATACGGGTTTTAGATTTCTATTTCCTCTAGTCATGTTTATTATTAATATAATTCCATTTGATTTCTGCTTTCCAGCAAATTATAAAAATTTCTGATCTTCTGATAGTTATACTTGTTTTCTTATTGGCAAATTATGGTATTAATATAATTGTGAGGTAAAAAGCTTTGAGACTAGGGAGGATCATTGAATCTGGAAGTCAGAAGACCCTGGTTGTTCTGGGAATTCCCAGTGGTTAGGGCTCTGTACTTCCACTGCAAGGGGTGTGGGTTCAATCCGTGGTTGGGGAAGTAGGATCCCGCATGACATGCAGCACGGCCAAAAAAAAAAAAAAGTCCTTGGTTGTTCTAGTCCGGACTAATTCTGCAATTGTGGACAAACAGCGTCACATCTCTAGGCCTTTTTTTTCCCCTAATCTGTAAAACAAGTTGGTACTAAGGACCATTCTAACTCTAAAGGAGTCTTTAATATAATCCTTCTTTTTTCAGCTTTGTGGGTTTTTTTAATCTTAAACTGATTGTTTAGCAGTTACTTTATATTTATTGGCCTGGAATAATACTGGTATGATTTTCTTTTACAGTTGGACTGCTAATCTAGTTATTGAGCATACAGGGTTTTTTTTGTTTGTTTTTTGTTTTTTTTTTTGCGGTACGCGGGCGTCTCACTGTTGTGGCCTCTCCCGTTGTGGAGCACAGGCTCCGGACGCGCAGGCTCAGCGGCCATGGCTCACGGGCCCAGCTGCTCCGCGGCATGTGGGATCTTCCTGAACCAGGACACGAACCCGTGTCCCCTGCATTGGCAGGCAGACTCTCAACCACTGCGCCACCAGGGAAGCCCGAGCATACAGTTTTGATATTACTTACATTAACGTTGTTATGTGACATTTATTGTAAAAGTGATAACAATGTTTTTATATAAAATACCAATTTCTTCCTTCAGGAATCACCACCTCTACCTGAAGAGGCATCAAATCAACCATATCTTCCAGATGAACAAGAACAAGAAGAACTTGATTTTTTATTTGATGAAGAGATGGAACAAATAGAAGGGCGAAAAAACACATTTACTGATTGGTCTGATAATGATTCAGATTATGAAATTGATGACCAGGATTTAAACAAGATTTTGATTGTAACTCAGACACCACCTTACATGAGAAAACATCCTGGAGGAGATCGAACAGGCAACCACATATCTCGGGCAAAAATTACATCTGAACTTGCTAAAGTTATCAATGATGGCTTATATTATTACGAGCAGGATTTGTGGATGGAAGAAGATGAAAACAAACACACAGCCGTAAAGGTAATTGTTTCTGATCAACATCTTTCTGTTGATACTATGTTTTGATGGCACATTGCTGCTTATGTTTTCCTAAACTTGAGGGTTTATTTTATGAAATTTTGAATATAAATAAATTATATTTAATTTGAAAAATTCCTGGAAATATATCTGATATTCACAACCTGAAAAATTATTTTATTAAAATGACAGTGAGATAAGTACTTTAATTACAAAAATAAATATTAACACTCACTGATTAAAAACCCTTTTTTCAGGTGAAAATAATAAGAAGGCCTTTTCTCATAAGAAGGAATAAAATCTAAAGTTATGGTCAGGCTTAGTTTATATGCTTTTTCCTTTCCTGGCTAATCACCCTAGCTATGTGAGCAGGGCTTCACAAAGGAGTTACTTTTGTTGCCCCTTGTGTCCTTCTCACCTTAGTCTGTAGTGCATGTTCTGTGGTTGTAGAACTGGTTGTTGACAAGTATAGAAGATTAAACTGGCTGATTGTCTCTCCTTGTCCAATCATAACTTTGTTGCTGGGAGTGGTGTTTGAAACCTTGTTCCAATTTTTTATCTTCTTGCGTTTCACCCCACCTCCTGGTACCTATCCCAGTTATTAAGGTACAGTAAGAGAGTGCCAGAGTAGTCTACTGGCTATCTGCATTCCTTTTATATGACTTTTAATGGTATAGATAGGAATTAAAAAGGATCTTTTTCTGCCATTAAATTGATCAGAACCCCCCCCAAAATTAAATATTTGTTTTAGGGATAGAATAATGAGGGAAGAGTTATATAAGTATAATATGCCAAATAGGAAAGAGATCTTGGTCAGAAATACAGTTCTAGAAAGGAAAGCCAGCCAACTCGTGGTTGGAAAGAAGGGGCTGGCTGTCTGTGGAGCTCCATAGCATCAATAAGTGTGTGCTTTCCTTCTTGAGTCTTCATTTCTTTTCTTCCTGGAATTTCTCCATCACTGCTTTTACCCTCCTCTCTAGCCCCTGCCTTTCTGGAGATCCTGCCTCAGGATATGGTAGCTTGTCAGTGACTTAGAGCCTGAGCAGTTCTCTCTGTCCTACTGCTATGGGAAAGGAAGTGTGTTTTTATAAAGTTTCTTGGTTGAAAGTCTTTCCTTGTGTAAGGGTTGTTACTTTATTTGTGATACTTAAGTTCTATAAGTAACATCTAACTTAAATCCTTTCGGGAACAAAAAGAGATAGAAAATAAACTAATAATAGGTTAAAATTGTACTACCTCCATTCCCTATCCCTCTGCCCTGCTTTGTTCTTCACCATCTACCATTCTGTATATTGCACTTACTTCTTTTCTGTTTCCATCTCATGAATGTAAGATCTATGAGGATAGGGATTTTTGTCTTACTTTGTACACTGCTGTATCTCCAGCTACAACAGTTCCTGGCACAAAGTAGTGCTCAATCATATTTGTTAAAATGAATTACAGATTAAACATTATGAACTAACCAGGGGAACCTAACCTCTGTGTATAATATTGTTTCTGTGGGAAAATATTTTCAGAGTGCCAAATAACGAACTTGCAGGTTACCTTGAGAAACATATCCTGTTGATAGATGATTATTTGCTTTAAAGTATAGACAACAATAATTAAATTTAATTCATTCATCTATTGCCTTGGCCATTAAATATTAGTCCGGGGAAAGTAATCTTGGCTATATGGCTCTTAAGCATTATGGGTCTGCTCGTAATTATGTCTTATCTGATCCCTATGTACACTCCTGTTACTTATTTCCTTTGTTTCTAATTCTGTGCTCAACATATAATTTCTCATTAGAATTGTACTTTTTCTGAGAGTCTGTTTAGAGGGAGAGGAATCAATTATTTAATATATATTAAACTCCTACTGTGTGTGTGACACTGTGTTAGGTCCTGGGCGTGGAAGGGGAAGATAACAGTAGGATCTCTACATGCCTGGTTGTTACAAATAATTGGGGTGATAGACATTAAAATAAGCTGCAATAAGTACTTGATCACAAATTATGATAAGTGTGAAAAGAACAAGATGCTATTGGATTAGGCTATAAGGGAATGCCTGTGAGAAAGTCACAGTTATAGTGAGATAGGAACTATGAGTAAGAATGAACCATGCAAATAACAGATAAACCATATTTTAGGAAAAGGGACTAGCAGGTGTAAGGATCTGAGATGGGAAAGAATTTGGTATATTTGAGGAACTGAAAAAAGGTCTGTTGATAGTATTTATGTAAGAGAACAGTTATAGATATATAGACATGCATCTGATCTTAGAAGGTAACATGTGGGCCATGTTAAACAGTTTGGAACTTACCTAAAGTTCAGATGCAGTACCTTGAAGAATTTTATACAGGCCAACAGGATGTGATCTAATTTTTATTTTTAAAATATCACTAGTTACTATGGCAGAGAACGGATTAGATGGGGACAAGAATGGCAGAAGAAATCCAGTTGGGAGGCTATTAAAGTAGTCCAGGAGATGTATGTTGGTAATTTAAGATAAATTGGTAGCAGAGGAAATGTAGAATTTATAAGACCCAGGTCTGAGCCCTGAGGAGTGATCATTTAGGAGTTGTGTAGGAAACTGGTGTGGAAGCCAAACACTGTCTTCAAGAGGAAAGAATAATCAGATGTGTCAGAAGCCGGACAGATTGAGTGTAGGTATAAATGAAAAGAATGCCAAATTGGTAGGGTTGTTTGTTGATCATTTCTGACTTTGTAAAGGAAGTTTTGCTGAATCCAGAAGCTGTGTTGAACTGTACCAAAGAGTAGGTGTAGGCCTTCTGTTTCTGACATGTCCTTATTACTGAAGACAACTAAAATGGCCTTTTAATAAATGAGAAAATATCTACTTAAAATCCTTGAAGATCTACAAGGTAAGTTATTATCAGAATAAAACCATAGAGAAGTAGAGTGTTGAAACCAGTTTTGTCTGGGAGACGATTTTGGAATTTGGGTAGTTTGAGAAGTTCAGCTTTGCAAAAGCCACTCAAAATATAGGGGTAAAAGACAAACCCATGGCCCAGTCAAAGTCAGGGATTCCAACAGGAGTCCTTTTCCCATTGAATTGGTACCTAAGGAAAATACCCTAGGGAAAGAGAACTTAACTGCTTTCTCATCTTTGCCTCTATGGGACCACAAAGCGTATTTCCTTAGTTGTGCTAAGCAGAATAAGGAGAAAAAAATTGGCTTAGAAGTTATAATCATGCAACCCAAATTCACACTATATGGGTGACTAGAGTAACTACTAGTCATAAATTTAAAGTGATTGTGGCCTGTTTATTTCCCAGAAATTAGCAGAAGCAAATCTGACTTTTTTGTGAAGACATTCACCTTTATCCTAGACCTCAAAGAATTTACTCAAATTATTTTGTAATGAAAGTGAGCAGCTTGGGCTTCCCTGGTTAAGAAACCGCCTGCCAGTGCAGGGGACACGGGTTTGAGCCCTGGTCCGGGAAGATCCCACATGCCACGGAGCAACTAAGCCCGTGAACCACAACTACTGAGCCTGCGCTCTAGAGCCTGTGAGCCACAGCAACTGAGCCCACGTGCCACAACTACTGAAGCCTGTGTGCCTAGAGCCTGTGCTCCACAACAAGAGAAGCCACCACAACAAGAAGCCCACACACTGCAACGAAGAGTAGCCCCTGCTCGCTGCAGCTAGAGAAAGCCCAAGCACAGCAACAAAGACCCAATGCAGCCAAAAGTAAATAAATAAATTAATTAATTAAAAAAAGAAGTGAGCAGCTCACAAAGTTAATAAGCAAACAAGGAAATAAGGTACTGCATGTGAGAATGAGCAAAAGTAACAGACAGTAAGACCATACCCTGAAAAATTTTAGATAGTAGGATTATTAAACATAGTATAGAGTAACTTTGCTTACTGTGTTTAAAGAAAAATATCTGCAGGGAAAAATAAATTCTAAAGAATAACCTTTCTAGAACTTCTGGAATAAAAACAGTTAAGGCTGAAATTAAGAACTCAGTTAATTGAAGGGATTAACAGCAGATTAGATACAATTAAAGAATCAGTGAATTGGAAGACAGTTTACAAGAAGCTATTCAGAAATCAGCATAGAGAGATAAAGAGATAGAATATATGAAAGAAGGTATAGAATGGTATTGTAGACAGTCTTTGATATTATTTGGTGTATTTCAAATCAAGTTGTATAATTTAACATCTAGTGGATTTTATTATAAATCTTTTTATTTTTGAGAGAAGTAAAAAGCAAGTGGAACATAGAGTGATAAACATGGTCTAAGATAGGTATTTATTCAGAGTTCCAGAAGGAAAAGAGAGAAAATGGGACAGAGTCAGTATTTTAATAGGTAACACCTAGGACTTTTTCTGAACTGCAGAGAGGTACCAGAGTAGAGCAGCCAGGGAAGAAAGGCGGTTACTTTCAAAGAAAGAAGAGTGACTGGACAGCTGATAGCTGACATCTCACCAGTAACATTTGAATGCAACAGACAATGGAACAATGGTGTTAATATAACACGGGAAAATAACTACCAACCTATAATTGTGTGCCTTGCAAAAGTATCTTTCAAGTAAGAGAGTGACATGTAATGAGAGGAATTGCAGTTCGTCAAAGGAATTTCCAAAATTGGAATAAAAGTGATTCCAGGTGCCAGAACTACAGAAAGGAGTATAGAGCAAAGCAAGTGATAAATATGTGAATAAATCTGAATAAATATTAACTTTATAAAACAATAACTGTGTCTCACAGATCTAATATAACATTAACACAAACTGGGAGAGAGCAATGAATGAATCATATTTAAAGGTACTTTTGTGTTTGGAAAGAAGATAATTGATTAGTTTTAAAAGTTTTCATTTTGCCGTTTGAACGACACCCATTTAAAAATAAGATTAGGGGCTTCCCTGGTGGCACAGTGGTTGAGAGTCCGCCTGCCGATGCAGGGGACACGGGTGCGTGCCCCGGTCCAGGAAGATCCCACATGCCGCGGAGGGGCTGGGCCCATTAGCCATGGCCGCTGAGCCTGTGCTCC